AATTTTCTGTCCTCACAAACATGTACACACACACACACACACACACACAGGTTAGCAAGTTCCGTCTGTAAGGAAGGCATGCCTTTCAGTCTTTCAGTCATTAAGTGGAGGAAATCCCCTCCATACTTACACACATGCACCATGTCACCAATAATTGAGTAGCAACAGCTTTCTCTGTCTCTTAGACACACACACACACACACACACACACACACACACACACACACACACACACACACACACACACACACACACACACACACACACACACACACACTGTGTCAGTAGTCATTATTTAGGCTGACAGAGGTGGATTTATACCCAGAGCTCTTTCCATAATTGAACAGTTTTCGTCTCTGTGTTTCCGCTTTGCCTTGCTCAGTCAGCAGCTTTACAATGAGCCCTTGGGCCTGTGACACCTTCTGTTCTTCAGTTTAGAAAGTGTGCGTCTGTGTGTGGAAAAGATCGAGTCGGAGGGTCTCTGCAGGTTTCTGTAAGTCAGCTCTGGTGGACCCATCTGCAGAATATGTACGTCAGGATTGGTTTTTCTCATGCACGTCTGTTTCAATCTTCCCACGAGTGACTGAACTCTGCCACCTTGTATTTGTCCTGCCATTTATTTCCATTCAGCAAGTAAGAGTTCAAGTTCCTGCAACAACATTTTTAAAAATATTATTCAATTAAGTTGTTTCAATTATTTCTGATCTTTACAGTTGATCCAGAGAGGAACCTGGTGGATTGAAAAAGAGGATGAGGAGTAGGAGGAGTTAAGAAGAGGGGAGGAAAGGAGAGCCAAATTGAATTAGGCAGGTGGAGAGGAGATGGAGATCGAAATAGGAGGCTGACTGGAGCTGTGTGTGGTCACTAATTAGGAAATTGGTGGTGCGAGGTGGAAAGGGTTATGTTCCCTTTTCGGTGTCTCCCTCTCATCTCCTATTCCTCCCTCTCGCCCCTCAACATGGGGGGCTAATTACAGTGGTAAAGGGCACCAAATTAAAACAGCTTAATGTCAGCAGCTGGGAGCTGCTTATTAAATGTTAATATCTAATTTTGAGCGTGCGCGTGTGTCTGTGCTGAAAGAGCAATATGAGTGTTTGGGCTTACATAATAATCATGCATACTTTGACTGTGAGCGGACTGTGTAAACAACTCAAAGTAACGCACACACACACACATTAGAGTGGATGAACCCCAACACTGCAGTGCACTCAAAGCTATTAGCAGAGGCTTGCAAAGGTTACCAGTTAACACTAAACAAGACACACACACAGAGAAAGATTACCGCGTGAGTCATGGAAATATCTACAACAATTTCACTCGAAGCAAATCTGCAGCAGTCTGAGATTCAACTGAATGATTAGAATCTACATCAAATAACAGTGGACAGAGTTACAGCACAGAGAAAGGTGCTGAAAGGTGGAGGAGAGTGAGAAAGAGCAACAGGAAGAGACCCAATTTCAACAAAGAGACGAAGAAAGAGCTGCAAAGAGAAATCGAAATATACCTCAGGGAGAGACGACAGAGAGAGAGAGCGAGGGAAAGAGTTATGGAGACGAAAATTGCGGTTGTGGTAAAACAGAAACAAGACTGGGTACGATTTCACTTCTGTGCAGGAGAGTCGAGAGAGAGAGGGAGCATGTGTGTTTATGTGTGTTTAGAGCTTTTTGTGGTGGCAATAGTGGTTTTGCGAAACAGAGCCGATTCTGGTCCGATTTATTGTGACAAACGAGAGACAGAAGATGGAAAGAAGGAAAGAAATATGAAGGGAGGAAAGAAAGAAAAGCCACGAAACGAACAGAAGAAAAAAGTAGCTTCTGAGAATAATTTGGTGAGAGGTTTGTGGTGTCTGGCTTGTGCCACGCAAGCCAATCTTCTGTTCCCTTACGTCAACACGCAGACACACACTTACTTTCAC